GAGCATTTTTACATCTTCCGGTTTGTTCATCCACCACGCAATGGTTTTATGACCCTGCTCCGGAAATGAGATCCAAGGAGCAACTTACTCATAAAGGAAGGAGGAGGAGGAGTGTGAAGCAATGTTCTCCTGTCCTTTAGTCTGTCCTTCAGTTCTGTGTCCCTATCAGAAGAGGCAGGAGCACCATCCACCACATGTACAACTTAGCTGTGTATGCTTGGTTGTTATAAACCAGCGCCTCTCCTTCCCTCTGGTCGCTTAGGTGCGGCTTCGCATCTCTCCAGCCCCAGGTGGCTCACATTCAACCCCGACAATAAGCTAGGTAGGCAAAGGTCATTGCTGTAATTTAAGGTTACCATAAAACCTGGGGTCTTGGCCCAATCAAAGGTACTTCAGCTGGGAACTGCTTGAGTAACGGGCTCGGGTGGAATCTCAATCCATCTATTAGAACTGCTGCATTTTTCCCTGCAAAGCAGGTTCTAAGAGGGGACAGGTATGCTTGCACTCCATTCAGCTTCCTGTACCCCTCCTTCTTCCCCGGGCAGAAACGACCACGTATTTCCCAGAGCTCATCACTGGCGCTCTAGGATCATGAAGGCAAGATGAACCCAGGAGAAGCGAGGCTAGCCCATGGACTCAGAATCTACACTGTCCCGGGAAGAAAGTGCAGGGAACATGTCCTGTTAGTAGGAGCTGCTCTCTGCATCAAGACAAGCAAGAACATCTGTGAGCGGGAGGGATGGGAAGGTGGGAGGGGGCAGGATGTATTTACAGAGAAGCTTGACCCTGCTGAGAGAGGAAGGGTACTGTTCCTCACTGCACTTCCACGATGGCTCAGGAAACTGACCCAACACAGAAGGCAGGGGCCAGGTCATCAGGGCACCACTACAGTCACGGAGAACATTGTTCTGGTCAGTTAGAGGCATGACCAGAGGCAGCCACTGGTTCAAACAAAAGCCAAGGATTCCATTGTAGGCACTTTGCAGGAGGACAGAGGTAAGAAAACGGAGCCTCCCATCTGATACCTTGTGTTTTCCAGACCCCCTGCCCACCATACACAAAACTCATTTTAAAATTCGTCACTGGAGCTGAGATGTCTCATTGGGTAGAGGTCCCTGCCACCAAGCAGTGGGACCCACATGGTGGGAATAAAAGAATGAATTCCTTCAAATTGTGTGTGTGTGTGTGTGTCTTAAAAATTGCATAGAATCCAGAATAGACAATTGGGGAGGGGGGGCCTCAGACTAGCTTCACCTCTGTGCCTGAATTTTAGGTCATTCCAAGTTTTGGAGAGTCCAGTCCTAATACAGCATAGCTACAGGCTATCTGTCCACTATCTGAAACCTGGGGACCCAGGTGGTTTGTACTTGGGGAAATTGTTTTCCTGATTCTGGAATATCTGCCCATACCTTAAGACTCATCTTTAGATTGGGACTGGGATCTAAGCACAAAACTCATCACCTTATACACACAGCCAGAGGTAACTTGATGCCATATTTACAGTGCCCAGATGTTTTGACTATCGTCCATCCCGGGGTCATCACGTCAGTGATCAACTTTCGGACTGGGGATACTTCAATTAGGTTGCTCCACCTATACCAATCCCCACGACGACGTCAAGGAAGGGACAACGCAGGGAAGAGATCACAAGCCTAGCGCTGTTTGCATCTCCTGACCCTATGAGTCCGCCTCCTCCAACACAAAGGAAATAGGGGGAGAATAAAAGGCTTGGCTCGGAGGAGGAGTGTGGGAGTTCCACTGAGAAGCCACGTCACAGTCATTCAGTGGGTACCCTAGAGAACCACTAACTTCAGTGGCTGGGCATGCAGCTAAGTGGGTGGAGTGTTTGCCTGGCATGAAGTCCTGTGTTCAATCCCCCAGAACCTCATAAAACTGGGTGCATAGATGCGCACCTGTCATGGCAGCACCTGGGAGGTGGAGACAGGAGGATCAGAAGTTTAAGGTCATCCTGGAATACAGGGTGACTTTTTGGGCCATGCTGAGATTCCATGACACCCTGTCTCCAAAGGCAAAAACCAAAGCACAAAGCAGAACAGAAAGAAAAAAAAAAAAAAAAAAAAAAAAAGCCTGGTCTACAAGAGCTAGTTCCAGGACAGGAACCAAAAGAAAGAGAGAAAGAAAAAAAAAAAAAAAAAAAAAAAAAAAAAAAAAAACCTTCACGTTTTCACTGGCTAGTCACGAACAATTTACCAGGAAGTGGGACAGAGTGAGAAGGGGTGGCAGGCAGGATGGGGTGAGCCGGGCAGGCTGAGTGCCCCCCTCGGTCAGCCAGCCGCTTCTGGAGCGGTTTCTCTAGCAGACAGTAAAGAACTCGATTACATCCAGTTAACTGTGCTCTAAACTGATTATGCATGTGCTGGGCTAATGGATTACATTAGCAAGAGGAAAAATAACGTGCAATCAATCTCCATTACGATGGGCCACACCAGGGCCCAACCACCTCCGAACCCCACCCGAGTCCAGGCACTGAAGAAACCCAGGGAGAGGGAGCCCCCTCTGTGGCAAGAAGTTTATCTTAGTCACATGGAGGGAACAAAGGGGCTTGGAGCAAGCTCTGGACTCATCATCCAAAGGTTGAGGCCGGGGGAGGAGGAGAAGGATCTCCCTACCCCTCAAAAGAGCATCAGCAAACCGAGGGACATTCATTATCCAAGGACTAATAGGACCAGACTAAAGACCTTTGCCTCCTGACACAGGGCCAGCTACACCGAAATACTAGGGCTGGTCACTCTAGGGACACACTGGTCAAACAGCTGCTGCTCTCAGGACTTAGGGCTCTTCTACTCGTGGCAGTATGGTCTCTCTGTCTTGAGCAAACAAACCAACCAACCAACAAAATAAGTAAGATAAATAAGGCCCAGTCATGTAAGTGACCAGAACGAGTAGTACAGGAAATGTCCCCTTCACACCCACCCCCAGAAAATGCCTTATCCTGATGACCAGGGTGTGAGTCGTGGACATGATTTGGGGGCTGGGGGAAACTCTCAGCAGATCCTGTTTCAGGGGGTCTTGAGAAGCAAACCCGAGTGTTTGGCTCTAGTCGAGACCTGGACCACGTGGAAGATGCGGCATGCAGACTTAGTGGCCACTGTGCGCACATTATAACCTAAAGGGCAATCCATCTCAAGAGATGCAAGAGGTCAGCCTCACTCTATGCTTTTGTGACCCTTCATAGGAGTGGCCTACAACCTCCCGTGGCCGATCTGACTGCTGGGTCCCTCAGAAATGCTCGTTTCCTCTGGTTTTCCCGCCTGGTTGTTCTGACCACGTCAGCACTGTCCTATGGCCAGTCAGACCTCCAACTCAACCTGACTGCAGGAAACTGTCTTTCCAGGGTAGCACAAAATCCAGCCAGTACTTGGAGAATTTGTTTGCACAGGACAAAGGATTATGACTTACTTGGTACCTAAACCAATCCTAGCCTACTACAGCTGGTGTCTGCAGTCCCTTCTAGGACATTCTATCCCTACTAACTTGCTCTAAGATTGTTTCCAGGGTAGCACAAAATCCAGCCAGTACTTGGAGAATTTGTTTGCACAGGACAAAGGATTATGACTTACTTGATACCTAAACCAATCCTAGCCTACTACAGCTGGTGTCTGCAGTCCCTTCTAGGACATTCTATTCCTACTAACTTGCTCTAAGATTGTTCCTTATCCATGGTGCTCCCTGAGAATGAGGGCAATAGCAAAATGAATCGCAACCATCAACTGAGCAGAGACCAGTGTGGGCTAAGGATCCTGAGCCTTCCTCAGGCGGGGTCTCCATCTATAATCGTGAGGGGGGACACAGGAGGCTCCACCCACTCCAGAGTCAGCAGAAACGGAACGCTCGCTAGCCCAGGAGTGAGCAACGGTGTGGAAAGAGAAAGGAGAGACTGGGGGTGAAAGTGAGGAGGATGGAGAGGAGCGAGGGAGCGGAGGGCGTGTGGAATGAGGCTGGGGAGATTTATGGCGATTTGTACCTGATTGTTCATACTAAAGCCATTACGGGATGATTAGAGGAAAAGGTGAGGCCTTAAGTCCAGCGAAAATCAATAGGGACGTCTGGAGCAATCCTGCCGTGCAAGTAAAAGGGCTGTTTACAGTGTCTGCGGCCCTCCTCCTTCTTGACGGCCTGGCCTAGGCTGTTCAGCCAGAGACTGGGGGTGCAGGAGCAAACGGAAGGGAAGGGGAGAGAAAAAAAGAAACCAAAGGGGCTAAAAGGAGAGGAAGCAGAGAACAGGGATGTAAAATACAGGAACATGGGGGCCCTCTCGCTTGACCTAATTTCCTTCATAGCATTTACCATCTTCTACCATGTCATTTGCCCATTATGAATGTGCCTCAACTTGTCCCAAAGGAACGAAAACTCTGTGAGGACAGGGATGTGGGTGTGAGCACATGCATGCATGTATATCTATATAAATGTGTGTCTAGTTATATGTGCACACATATGCACATGTATATATGAATGTGTGTGTTCATGTGTATGTACTATGTACGTGTGTTTGTGGTGATCTATTATATGCACTGATACAGACATACTTCCAGAGCAGCGGCTGGTATACAAAACGTGTCTGGTGTGTAGCAGCTGGCAGGATGGGTAAACAGAGTGAACACATGAAGCACTCTGGGAGGATCCAGGAGAGAATAAATAAAAGACGGACTAAAGGACAGAAGGACGAGTGGGCCATAGTGGCTGATGGTGACTCAACAGACTACAGCAGAGACCAGCAACCAAGAAAGGAAAAACACAGTATTGGTCTGTTGAATTAACCTGCCCCTGCAATGAGACACCCTGAACCTTCAGCCTCCAGATGAAGCCATCGACACATCTCAGCCTCTTTAGCCACTGGATGCAACACCTTTAGAGTTAGTTTGCTGGGTGGCGACTAGCACCTAACAGGATTATAATACAAATTACTAGTCCCCCTTCTCAATCTTCCCCGATCCACTCTGCAGACAGCCCATTCCTGGGTCTCAAGGAGCTGACCTCACCTTGTACAACTTCAGGCTGGCCTCGTGCCTGGAGTTGACCGTGTGCAGCCGTAGCTTCTCCAGGCTATTGGTGTAGTAGTCGCATGCGTTGCACTTCAGGTGCACTGGGTTGCCGATGGCCACACACTTGAGCCTCCACTCGTTGGCCTTGCCGCCCTCCTTGATGTGGGCCACCAGCTGGTACTTCTGCACATGCTTGTCCGTCTTGCAGTGCAGCTGGAAGTTGGCCTTGAGCTGCGTGTTGTAGCGGCAGAGCTTGCACTGGTACGAGTCCCCCATCACGGCCTTCCACTCGTCCTCCGAGAGGCTGCGCTCCACGTTCATGTGCAGTCCCAGCATGTCCAGGTTATCCGTCGTGAACTTGTTGCAGACCGCACACTGGAAGAGCTTCAGGGACGGGTCGTTGGTCTGGATGAAGCTCTCGCCCAGGTTCATCAGCTCCTCCGACACCAGCTGCCCGCCCCCGAGCCGCATGTCTAGGGGTATCTCACCGCCCACTGTAGGGAAGGACAGAGGGAGAGGGTCAGAAGCCAGGCTCACAGATGCAGTACAAAGCACAAACACTGCAAGGAGCTACCTGCTGGAAAACAACATCCTCTTGCTGTGTTGGGATACTCTGTGGTCTGCGGAAGGATCCGGGCTTTTCCACCTTCTCAAAAAAGAACATCTAGACAAATCTGGGGAGCTCGGTCTCCTGACTGATTTCAATTTCCCTTCTCTCATGTTCTAGGAAAAGTGGTAAGTCTGTATGACCCTCCAAATGCAACAGAATCTGAAACTCCAGACTCCAGCCTACCTCCAGAATTAAGAGGGAGCAGAGCAATCTATAACACTGGGCCTTTAGGAAGATTCTAAATTGTGCCCAGAGTTCATCTATAGCATTGCTGATGGGCAAAACTTCCCACCATGGTAGAAAGGGGGGTGGGGAGCTTGCACTGTACATACAATAAGAAACTAAATTTTTCTTTCTTTCTTGTTGGTTTTTCAAGACAGGGTTTCTTTGTGTAGCTTTGGTGCCTGTCCTGGAACTTGCTCTGGAGCCCAGGTTGGCCTCAAACTCAGAGATCCGCCTGCCTCTGCCTCCTGAGTGCTGGGATTAAAGGCGTGCACCACCACCGCCCGGCTAAAATGGAATGTTTTATTGCCATTAATATTAGTGGGGATGGCCACACTGATGCACAACCATACAGCACAGAGCTCAGAAGCGAGCCCTCCACTCCTCCCAGCACCCTCTCGTCAACATCCTACCTGTCCATCAGAGCTGCCCACCTTCACCTCTGTTTCTAGGACAATCTTCCTTTCCCAAGCCTCTGTGCCCGAGCTAGCCACACACAGGACCCCAGCACAGCTGCACCCCTACCAAGGTGGGGGCAGACTAGAGCAGAGAGGTCCAGCCTCACGCTGAATAACCCACCCCACTGCACACATGAATGAATGTTTATTGCGTCAGACAAGGGTCAAAAGCACCAAATGATACACGCTAAGGAAGTAAATCCAGACAGACTAGAGATGGGGGCGGGTGTGTGTGTGTGTGTGTGTGTGTGTGTGTGTGTGTGTGAGCGCGCGCCAGCTCACACTCCCTAAGAAAGGTCTCTGTACCCCTGCCCATTTTCAGCCCATCACTGCCGTGCATAAACCAGGGGAAGGCTCACTTTCACTGGCGGGAGGTTAAACACCAGCTCTTACTTACACCACGAGAAAGCCTTGGAAACTGCAGGCTTCCCTCCATCCCCTAGACGTGCACAGTAACTCAGGAGCTGACTGGCAGCTTCTGGTTCCTACCTCTCCTCTGAACACGTGCACACTTGAACTACGAGGTCTGCCCCCACCCTCCAACTGATGCTTAAACTTGACCTTTTGCGAGTGGTTTGACTGAGGTTATTTTTTTAAATGACTGATTAGAATTCAAGTCGGTGGCTCATCAAAGGAAACAAAATGATGATGGCGACGGTGGTGGTGAAGGTGATGAAGATGATGATGATGATAACGACGAGAGAGATTTTGTTTCGGCTACGAAGCTCAGATCGGCCTCCACTAAGCCAGACCAGTTACATTTGAAGTCTGCAGATAATGTAAGAAGCCACAGATACCCTTCCACGCATGCATTCCAGAAGGTTCAGGAAGCTTTCTCTGTGTGGTCTTTCTTACCATCCCCTCCCCCACCCATTGCCCGTTGAGAGGAACCTTAACTATGACATTCATTTTAGAGCAAGAGGAAGAAAATAAGGGAAAAAGAAAGAAGAGAAAGAGAGAGAAAAAAAGTTCTATCCTTAATGAGGATGAAGACAGGCAACATCCACAAAACATACTCAGCGTTCACGCAAAGCCAAAACTGCCCAGAGGGTGAGACAGGAGCAAACGCGTATTTGTTTCTGATGTCAACCACCTGAAGCAGCAACCTCTTCCCCACCCTTCAAACGCAAGCTCGGCACATCAATACCGCTACTCTACCGAGAAAATCCACTGTCACTTGCTGCGGGTCTGGATGAACATTAGAAGCCCTCAGAAGAAGCAGAGAGAATAAGCTACTGCTCCTATCCCCAGTTCACAGGCCCAGCAGAGGAGCAGCGGGAAACCGGGATGATGACGAAGAGCTTGCCAGGACTCCCGCCAAGACTCCACCTTGGAGAAAAGCCAAGGCATTAGAATCCTTCCAGTCCACACAGTCAATTCAACTCCAGTGAATCAGATGACCCTCACTTGATCCACAGGCATCTGGGAGCTGCCTAAGTGAGGCTGCAGCAGACCGTTTCTTTTGAGCCCTCTATGGGCCTTGGGAAGGACCACGCCGCCTATGACAGAGATCCAACCAGCTTGGGCTTCACACGGTGGCATGTGAGCCTGCCCAGAAAGAAGCTCAGCCTCAGGAGGCACGAATCAGATAGCACAGAAGCAAAGGAAGAAAGCAGAGGGCTCCTAAAGGACAAGCGAGTGCTCTGTGGCCGCCAGGCTACTTGGTGGGAAAAAGAAAAATGCCTTGCAAGGGACCCATTTCTTGACGCTATGTTAGACTTGGGAGTCTAAAGGGATGCTTGGGAGGATGTTCACATAGCTGCAGGTCTTAATATCCTGTCTATAAATGGTGGCAGGTCCGCTTCAGCCAGACCAGACCAAGAAGCGTAACCCTCTCTGCCTCATGACCACCAGAACGATGGCATTTCCAGACGGGTACCTAAAGAGAAGGTCCTGTCAAGGAAGGCACGAATGGTACCCTACTCCAAAAGAAGACAGTTCATAAAAGCCCCTTTCTGTCTCACTGCAGAACCCAATCATGTCCGATACCCTCTAGCCACCTCACCAGTAGCCTAACTGCAGCAGGCACTGCAACGTGCAGCTTCTCCGCTTGCCTGCGTTTTCTCCTGCTCGGGCCACACAACCTCCTCCGCAAATCATGTGGACACATCCTACTGTCCGCATACCTGGTCAACAGTGCAACGTTCAACAACTTTGACTCTCGTCACCCCAACTGACCTCGTGGCCACCAAAAGGACGGAGACCCACCTCATGCAACTGCAGCGCCGGTAACTCAAGAGCCCTTCCTGACTGAACTGGGCAAGACCCAGGGCAGCTCTACTCCAAGGCAGACTGTGGGGATCGCCTTGGTGTGTTTGGACACAAGGACCTGACCCTCTGTGCCTGATTACACTAAGAACTGTGATGCCCTGGAACTCAAAGACACTAAGTAGAAAAAAAGCACACAGTATATGTCTCTATCGTTCAATGCAAATAGTAGCCGCTGATTTTCAAGATAGCTAACAAGTCCTTGATTTGTCAATGTGAAGTCACCCCGTCTCCGTGCTTCTGTTATATGGAGAGAATGCCAGCTTCCTATTGGTGAGACAGACAGAGAAAGAGATGGGGAGAGGAGGAGAAACAGACTTCAGAACACTAGTGGCCAACACCCACCCTTCCTGGGGTGCATGGTTCACTCTGGGGACAAGTGAGACAATGGATTCTTGTGCCTTCGTGGGCTAACCAGACCAGTCAGCAAAACGTCTTCAGATCATTTGGTCATAAGAGATCAACAGGCTAATGTTTCAAGATAGAAAACAAGGCTCAAATATCATGAATTCGCAGTGAAAACAGAGCAGGTAGAACAAGCTGAATGCCTGGGAACACAGCTCATTAGCAAGTTAGTCCTGAAGCCCCACACAAAGTGAAGAACACACACCGGTGAGATCTGGCCTCCTGGCACTTACCTAACCCATGCCAAATAAAGGTATGTGCTCTCTTCGTTGTTAAAAAAAAAACAAAAAAAACAAAAAAAAAAAAACTACTTATCCCCAGGCTGATCATAGAATTCTACTTAACTAGGGTCTCTCCACAGATCCCCAAAGGGCTAGACAGTAGAGGCAGGGAATAAAGACCAGGTTAGGCTCCATCAGTGGAACACCAAGTGGGGTCAAAGGGGACCCAGTCATCATACTAGCCTCCATAAAGTCAATCTGTACACTTTCCCGCTCAAAAAATTGATCATTAACCATAGCTCTCTCAGCATCCAAATCTCTCATTTCTGGTTCTGTTTTAGATGTGTCAAGCTGAGCAGTAAGACCTGGCGCTATGGTTTGAAAAAATGTCCCTCACCAAAGGCTACGTGTTAAAGACTTGGTCCCCAGCCTGTGCTCAACGGGAAGGTGGTGAACCACCTTCAAGAGGTGGGAACCAGCTGGAACTCTGCCAGTCAGTCTGTGGAACCCCCTGACCTCTTCCTCTCCTTTTCAGCCCTTTGCTTTCTCTACCATGATACAATGCTTCACCACAGGACCCAGAGCAACAGCGCCACTGACCACCGACTGAAACCTCCCAGACTGGGAGACAAACTGGTTTTCTTTCTACATCTCAAGCACCTGCCGCATGAATGGAAAGCTGACTGCTACTAACGCGGACAACACAGCGGAGGTCTGGGTGTAGGCTCACTCAGCGTCTCTAAGAAGGCACCGTTTCTCCTGGCAACAAAGACCCCACTAGCCAGCGTCTAACTACTATCAAAACGTCAGCTTTCTCTGAAGGACAATTTTACAATTTCTTCACTTCTTCAGCTATCACGCCACTCGTGACCGTGTCCCCAGGGCAATTTAACTCCTAATTCATTCCCAACTCCACTAATCAACAACTCATCCAAACTAAGGGAGGATAAGAACGTGCCTCTTCCATCAAGATCCACAGAGCTACAGAGAGAACTCCAGAAATCTTCCCGTGGCTCCCAGTTCAGCACGGAGCCAGCCTTTGGGTTTTCAATGCGGTATGTTACCGCTTCCAATAGCTCCTATTGGGATGATGACTGTCCCCGTTTAAATTATTGAGATGATGGTCCCAGATATAGTTTCTTGTAAGTTTTAATAAATATTTAATGGAACCCAAAAGTTTTGAGTGATTATGGCAATTTTTCAAATTGAGTAAGAGAAGAGAGAAAGAATGGGAGCGGTAAAGGAAAGCTGACCATAAGCCAAAAACTAGAGGCAACACATGAGTTTTAATCCTGGCCCTAGACAGCCAGAGTACAATCACAGCTCTGTGGGATGCATAAAACTGTCCAGACGCACACAGCAAGTGCAAGAAGGAAAACACTGGATTGTGAGACATTCCCATTTAAAAAAAAAAATTCAAGGTGATAAAAATCAAAACCAATTTACACACCTCGACCTCTTCCACGTGCTTCCCCGCCCCAACAGAACAAACCTCCTATATGGTGAAAGCACACAAGCCCTGGGGGGCGGGGAGGGGGAGGTCAGCCTCACCTAGAGCAGGCGTCATGGCAGCCATGGGCCCTGTAGGATCCAGCTGGAATCCGCTCATCATGAACTGGGTGTCCGAGGCGGTACTGTCCATCTTCAGGTTGGGCAGGTTCATGTTCTGGGCCAGGTAGTACTGGTAGAGCTCGGCCTCGGCCGGGGAGGGCAGGCTGCCGAGGCCCAGGTGGCGATTGTGCTGGATCTGGGTCATGTTCTGCTGCAGCAGCATCATGTTGTGCATGTGTTTCTCACTGGTCATGTGGATGCGGAGGTTCCTGGCCACGTTGGTCTCATAGTCACACACCTCGCACCGCCACGTGGGTTTGGTTTTTGGTTTGGTGGGGGAGGGGGCGCCACAGGAGCTGCCTATATTGGCGGCGGCGGCAGCCGCGGCGGCTGCAGCGGCGGCGGCTGCCCCAGCGCTGTGGCTGAAGACTTGCTCGCCCCCTCCGTTCTGCAGGTTCTGCATGTTGTTGAGATGTTTGTCGGACTGCATATGAATACTGAGGTTGCCTTTGGTAGTTGTGGAGTAGTTACACACCTCACAGCGGAAAGGCTTGTAACCACACGTGTAGCTCTCGCCTCGTGCCAACCGCGGGTGGGGCTGCCCGCTTTTGCAGTAGACACAGGAGCCCCCGGGCTCCGGGTGCTTCTCCTTCATGTGTGCCTCCAGCGTCTGCTGGTACTTATAGTGCCAGTTGCACTTGGGACACTTGAGTGTCTTACACGAGTTACGAGAATGCATCATGGTCATGTGGCCACCCAGGGAGCGGGAAGAGCCCAGGACCGTGTCACATTTGGGGCACTCCACACCGCTACCCGAGGGGCACTCCCCAACCCCAAGCTCGCAGAGGGAGCCAGCGTGCTGGTGATGAGGGACAAAGCCCCCATCGTCGCCCTCTGTGCTTTCATTTGGTTCTGGTGCTGTGGCATTGTCTTTATTGGCACTTTCGTCAGCGAAGTCCAGCCTCCTGCCCTCTGCCACATTGGCCCTGACGCCCTCACTGTTAAAGCTTAAACGGTTCCTCCTGTTCGCACCATCGAAGACAACAAAGGAAGAAGCAGAATTAGAAGTAGTAGAAGCTGTGCCCCTTGACAGGCTCTGGAGCACATTAGGCATTAAGGGGGAGTGAGAAATGCTTTGGTTTGAGAGAGCAAGGTCCTTTTTGCTGCTACCACCTGCTGTGGCTCCAGACTCCTCGGGGGCCCTGTCCTCCAGCTCTTCCTCCAGCTCCGTGGGAAAGAGTCCTTTGCAGCCCTCCTCTTCCTCCTCCTCTTCCTCCTCCTCCTCCTCTTCCTCCTCCGCCTCTTCTTCCTCCTCTTCCTCTTCTTCCGCCTCCTCCTCCTCGGCTGGCTCTGCTTTCTCGGAGAAGCAATCCGGATCCCCCACTTCTTGCTTATCTCCTTCCGCTGCCCCAGAGTCCTTGCCCTCCGAGGATTTGGTAGGACTGGCAGCCAGAGGCCCCAGGGGGACTGAGGTAATGGGAGTCTTCAGGACCGAGCTGGTGAGCCCGCCAAGGTTCAAGAGGGTGCTGGGGGTCAAGAGACCAGCCTGGGGCTGCTCAGGGCCAGCAGCAGCGACGGCTGGGAGGGTCTCCTCCCCTTCCATGCGAATGCCACTAAATTTACCATAAAAACTGTGTCCGGGGCCTATGAGGTTAGCTGTGGAAACTAAAGGGTGTTGAAGGTTTTTGTTTTTTGGTTCCAGAAAACTTACAAGGGGTTCCTTGTCTTTGCCGATCCCTTGGATGATAGCGGAGATGTTCTTATTGCTAAGAATTTTCCGCTCCTCTTCACTCAGGGTCATTCGATGGTCGTGCACCGCGTGGGTCACAAATGAACGGACATACCCAAAGGAGAGTTTGCACAAGAAGCACATCAGAATGGGCTTCCTCTTGCCGTAGAGCACAAAGCCATCGAACTTGGACAGGTCCACATTGTTGGGAACATCTTTGGATACGCAGGAGCTTTTGGCAGAACCGTCGCTGTTCAGGTAATCCTTGTTGCTTTTGTGTCGCACGTCAAAAACGCGGAAGCTGTGCAGGACAGGGCTGAGCCCCGCCAGGGCTGAGGTATTCGGGAAGGCCTGGTCTGAGCCCTCAAACCATTTCCCGAAGGATGAGGCTATGTGGAAAGTGTTGATGATCTGCGGGTACACGGGTGCAGCACACGAAGGGTCCCCTTGTTTGCCCCCCGCCCCGGGGAGAGAGTTCAGGAAGAGCGAGGGGACAGGCCCACTGCCACTGCCGCTGCCACACGCGGCCCCGCTTTGGGCCAGCTGGCTCAGGCTCTCGACAATGTACGCGGAGCCATCTGGCTGGTAGACGATCTCCCCGGCCAGGTTCTCCACGTCACTCTCCTCCTCGCCCTCCTCGCTGGTGTCGCTGGCGCTCTCCTCTCGCAGGGGCGGTGGGGGGCGTGTGCCAGGGCAGTGGTGCTCCATGTAGGTCTGGAGGCTGGCAAAGGAGGCTGAGCACTCGTTGCAGCTGACCTCCTTGCTGGCGGGCTCGGCTGGCGGCCCGGCCGAGGTGCTGCTGTCCGCCAGGCGCTCATTGAAGGGGGCCCTTAGGCTGTCCAAGGGCCCATGGCTCTCGCCTGTGGGCTGCTCCATGCTACTGGGTTTGTCGGGGAGGTGGGTGCTGTTGAGTTCAGTCCATTGCCGGTGCTGAGGGATCCCGCACCCATTGTCCTTCCCCGAGACGACGGGCGAGTCACAGCCTTCCATGGTAAGGCCAGCGTGGAGCTTTCATTGCACCCAGTACGGATCGGACCTGAAGGGTGGAGACAAGGGGGGGGGGGAGGAGGGAGAGAGGGGAAAGAGAGAGAGAAAGGAAAGAGGTTAGGAGGGCCAAGGCTAAGGTCCCGCACGGAGTGCTCTAAGCAGCTTCTGTCCATACCCACAACACAAAGCTTGCAGGGCAGAGGGCAGGCTGGGGGACATGGCCCTGCACAGTGCAGTACAGAGAGGGCAAGCAGCACCATGGACAACACAGCCAGGTCCATGTAATGAACGGGAAGTGGGGAAAGCAGTCAGGAGCACACCTCTTTGACTTCACGCTGTCACTCTGGCCCTAGAGACAGACTTGTTGAAATTTTTCACTCTCTGCCATCGGGACCTTGAGTCAGGCTGGGCAGGGAGCCATAGTGGAAGAGGCCCGTTATCTTTCCAGGACCCAGCGAGGTCACTGGAAGGGCCTTCCTGCATACAGATCGCTTACATGAAGTCATCCCAAGTGCATGACACTTGGGGGGGCGTCAGGGAGGATGAGAGGAGGGAGCTGAGGCAGCTTCAGAATGAGAGTGGTAAACTGAGAAGGGTCCAATGACAAAGAGAAATCAGGTGCTTTTCAGTGCCTGTGTGTCAGGTTTGGTAAGTTCGAAAAAAGGTCTACAAGGTTCAGAGGGCGAAGGTGAAGCCTTAGGTTCATTCTGCAAAGGGCCCAAGGGGGCCAGCGGCCACATCCCTCCCTTTCAGGTCTCGGAAGCAACAGAAGTCCCATTTCCTGAGCAGTAAACCTTACAGGATAAATCCCACCAGAGACCAACACTATTCTCATTATCAAACTTGAAGACACCCCAAATTCCCATCTCCTCTACCCAAACCAGGAAAGCTTCCTTGTCTGGGATTCAGCAGAGCTCACAATGAAAATAGGAAGGCACCGAGAATAAGAGCCGGCTAGACTTTCAATCTGCTGGTGCCCTTGTGGAGGGGGGCAAAGCCTCGCCCCATCTGCAGGAAGCCCATCTACCAGGCGCACGGTGGATTTTCCCTAGCAAAGGTCTTAGCACAAGCAGAGACGGCAGCTGGGCTTAGCAAGCCCTACTTCCACACCTGCCTCTTCGTTATTAGTTGCTACCCAAGCAGCTGTCCTTCAGCCCTGGGGCTTTTCCGTTTCCGACTCCAGAGAGCTACTGAGCTGAACCTGCCCTCTGAGAGCTCCTGTCCCAGGGGAAGGTAGAACCGGATCACAGGCTGCCTGGCTCCTGTGACATCACCACAGGGGTGGTGATTGCCTTGTTGCTGCTACCCTCCTACAGGTGGCTCAGCACTTCTTCAGAGTTTGGTCTTTTACCCACAGACCCCAAGCCATTGCTTCCCTGCTCCACCACCTCTTGCACAAGCAGCAGACAAAGCTTTTGGCCGGGTTTCATCCCCCTCCATCTCCTGCCAACCCTGTCTTACTCTTTTCGTATTTCTCCAGGTTTGACTACAGAGTGAGCCAACAGCTCCCCCTCGGGAAAAGACGGAGAAGGCAGGCTGGCAGAAGCCTTGGAAGAAATCACTTTTTCGAAGAATGTGCCACGACTGGTTTGAAACTCACATGCATATATGGCTGTCAACTGATAACTGCAGTCTCGGAGACAGCAGAGCTCTGTAGGCCTTAGAAAGGACGGGTTCGTTTGAAACAGATCACCGCGCTAAATCAACCCCCGTGGCAAATGAACGGGGACTTCCCATAAGGCTTAGCTGGGATACAGGTGAGAATCTGGGGAGGCTCTTCTTAAGGATGTTCCTGATTGGATGGATGACACCTGATTGGCAGTTCAAGCCCAAAAGGTTGGCAGGTCTGAAGGGGCGGGAGGGTTAACAGCCCGATTGTAAAATCAATGTCATAAATGCTTGGTAAGTTACAGGAACATGCGGGAAGGGGAGGCCGCGATTGATAAAGGAGAGGAGCTTTGATGCCGCACCAGGGACTTGTTTATCGACAGCAAAGCCAATCTCCTCTCCAGCCTGGGCTGGGCCAGAGAAACCTGCTAGCATTTACCAATTAATTGGTGGGCTTTGCTTGCTCGGCTCTCTTCCTCCTCCTCCATGAACTGGCCAGCTAAGGGTTGGGACTTTAAAGACAAAATTGAAACAAACAAACAAAAAAAAAAAAAAAAAAAAACCAAAACCTTAATTTGTTTTCTGGTCCCAAGCAGGCAATGACCCTTGTGGCCACTTCTGAAAGGCAGATAAGATAGCTGGTGACCCTGGGCCAGCGGAGTGAGCTGGAGGATTCATTCACAGGAAGCTGACAGTCCATAAGGACACAGGTGGGAAAGAGAACCCGATTTCTAGACCTGGGCTGCCTGTTCTGGAGCTTCTCTTCCATGCACGCTGACCAAGCAGAGCGTTGGACAGCCCCGTGAGAAACAAGAGGCATGCATGGTTCATGGGCTAATCACACTGTCCTGAGACATGCAGGCTCCTGGTTCACACCCCACCCCAAACAGAATGTGTAAATGTCCACACCACCCCCGGGGAACTTGAACTAAAGCTTGGGACACTGCTTCCCTGCATCCGCACCAGACGACCAGCTTGCCTGTGCTTGGTCCCCACATTGCCAGGTAATCGGAGAAGGATGGCCGCACACATCCTCTGCCTCCATCCCTGGCAGATAAGGGATGGATGGGGTGGGGGGGGGGGGATGCACTGACATGAAGCGGCCTCTTCATCCTGCCCAGGCTGGCAGCTCATGGGCCTCGGGGCATCCACTACTCTCCCACCCAGCGTGCTTGCTCTGTTTATCAGCCAGTCAATAAGAAAAAGGTAGTTCTTACTTAAGGAGGCAGAAGTCAACTCGGCAGGTCGATCAGCGCTCTGTCTGTAAACATGGTTTCCCGTAAAATCAATGTTCTTCAGTTACAGAGGGCGGCCTGGGAACCGAGTGGGTCCCCACACATTCACGGGAAGCCCTGCCAGTCAAAATCCACAAGCCTCTCCTCAGCCCTCTAACCCAGTCCTCGGGCTGTGAACCCATCCCACACGCAGAACGCTGAACTCTTCCTGCAGGCCAATTCATCTTTCCCGGCCACTCCCTCAGGTTCCCTTTAAATCACCTCAATATTGTATTCAACACTATTTGAGAATTCAGTAAGGTTTTATAAAGCACGTCTTCCCAATGACAAAGTTCGAGGGGAGACACAGGAGCGATCGGCAAGCATTTGCACACACACAGTCTTGCCCACTGTCTCATTCTACTCAGCATTTAAGTCTGCCATTTGCATAGTACCCCATGCAGAAGAGCCCCAACACCGTAGGAATAAATAATCCCAATGAAAGGGGGAGCTGTATTCACCCCCACATTGTGCTTCCCTGTTTTAAAGCCCACTGCAATTTTGCGAACACCAACCTCTTGGAAAGATTGCTTTTCAAGGATAAAATGCTACCAGGTACAATGTGACAAGCCACTCATACAGGCAATTATCTTCCTCTTTAAACTAAAAAGGGTGTGTAAGGAAAGTTCTGTCTTATTCCACGAAGGAGACAGGGCTGGATAAAATGCTACAGTTTTCTAGTAGGCTGGGTAGGAGTGTGCGGTTCTAAGAAAGGGGAGGGGGCTCCTGCTGCTGCTTCAGCTCCCAGAGAATTAAACATGAACAGTCACACTGTGTAATTTTAAATTGTTAATTAGCACAGGGTTAATTAGGCGGTCCTTTCACAAGGGGCTGTTTGGCAGAAAACCAAGAAGGGAAACAAAGGGGGAGAGAAAGAAAAACAAAGCGAATAGAGACAGCAAGAGAAACTGTTGCCTCTGTGAATAACGTGGGGCATCACCAGAGACGTCAGCCAGCGCAAGGATGCCTGGTCCTCCGGGGACTCTTCCCCCTGCCCCAGGGAGAAATGTAAGGACCGCCCTTCTCCCGGGAACCAGGCAGTGCACAGCACACACTGCCAACATGTTTTGACTCAGCAATTTCTCCATTCTAGGAATGTATTTCAAGGAAACAACCCGGGAGATGTGTGGACATACGAAATTGTCCATAATAAGATTTATAACA